CCCAGGCCTTTCCTCCTCCCCTCACCCCCAACCCCCACACCCCCACCCCACCATGCTATTGTATTTTAGGTGAGGTTCTCAGGGACCTGGGCCCTTCCCCACCCAAGTATTTGCCCTGTAAATGTGTCAGCTGGTGAAATGGGCGTGGTGTCGGTTGAGCCCTAAATATTTTCTAAATGTTTGGCGACCTCACCTATCCCCCCTGCTCCTCCCCATTTCCCCCCGCCCCGCACCCCTTTTGCGTTTAAAATGGGTAACCCTGAATTTGGGAAGATGTGTAGAAGATGAGGGGGAATAAACGCGCCCGATGTTTTCTTCTTGGCGGCGCGCCAAATGGTAGCAATGCAAACACTGTCCGTACAAAAACAAAAATAACAGCAAGATCCGGTCACACTGTGTGACACTGCACTAGCTATCTGGTGTCATTATTATCCACTGAATCACCCATTGCCTGGTAAACCCATGTTATTTTCCAACTGCAATGTTTTATACTACGTTTAAACCTTCTAGCTGAAATATCCTTGTTTATGTTTGCCGATTGATTGATAGGGGGAAATGAGAATTAGACCCTCCAGACTGTTTGGGCATGTTGAGAAGATGAATGAACTTGATAAACCAGTGACAGATTTGATGGGAACAGAGAAAGATTGGGGATGGGGGAGAGGGACGAATGCTGCTGAGTGATTGGCCAAACGGTGTCATCCGAACAGGAACGCTGTAAAAAAAAAAAACGATTACGTTAACACCAACATCATTATTATCAAATTTATCAGGTGCCTTGCCGACTTGCGTGGGCGATCATGCTTCTCCATAATCCACAATCTCCTGCAGCATGTATCAGTTCGTGTGCCGAGACACCTCCATGCCATGCAACAAGACTGTCAAGAATCTTCTCTCGTTGTCTTTCTCTAGAAAACCAGCATATAATTACTTAAACTCTTGACATCCAGAGGTGTTCTAGCTTAGATTAGTCAGTTTTCAGTCCTAACATTTGTAAATGATAACATTACTGCCAGAATATATAAAACTAACGATTCTGATATGAGAGTTAATTTAATTTCCATGTGTGGTAAAAGAGGAGACGGAAATATGGCCTAATTATTATACCGGAAGAGTTAAACTGAGGTTATATAGGTTTTAGTGAGATGGCAGACCATTTTAACTAAATCTTATATGCATAGCCTATGATGATAGTGATGTTCATATTTACAGAATCAATGTGGTGCTATATTATGTGTAACAAACAAACAAACAGTTTATTGATCGGCACTCACAGAACGACAACATGAAAATCGGTGGCTTCTTTAACCATGTTTATCGTAATTGATAGGAAGCAAACATATATCATCCAGCTGAATGGTTCTGGTCTTAATCAAGTTAGAGAATTTAATTATCCAGGATGTGTGATCACAAAAGATGAGATGGTAGAACTGTAGAGAAATAGAAACCAGAAACCACTCCAAACATAACTATAATTTAAACAGCATAATTATTCTAGTATTACGCTGCCAGTGCCAAACATGGACACTATCTAAAGCCTATATACGCAAAATCTTCACATGTGAGAGATGGATGAGAAAAGCCACCAACTTAACCATCCGAGATCGATTGAATAATGATACGATCAGACAAATTGTGGGAACGACACCTTGTAATAGATTTATCGATAAAAAGCCGATCAAATGGTTTGGCCATCTCGTTAGAATGCAGCAAGATGAAATACCATCACAAGCACTGCATCTCAGAAGATGAGCTACAAGAGCAAGAGGACAGCCGTGAAAAATATGAATCGACAACATTGAAGATACTTTATGCCTTCACGGCATGAGAATAGCCAGTGGCAGCCAGCGTGCACTTGATCGCAAATTATTCCTTTCCGTGACGGCAGAAGTGGTTTATAAGGACGAGGATGGTGATGATAACGCATTTGTCGAAAAACAAACACAACAACATGTCGAACAACAAACGCAACAACAATTATAAACACAACGGGCATGGCAAATGAAGACACCCTTATTTTAGGGATGCTAAGTCGGTCCTGTGTCTTAGTTCACTTGTAACCACAGCGATGCGCATTCGTCATTTGTCAATAAGTATATTCAGGAAGATAGAGATGGGCTGGATCCGAAGACATTGGTTGAAGTCTCTAAAGTGGTCGGGACAGACACATATCAGTTTCTTATACATGCTAGAGCACGCATGCGTGCAAGGAAATGAGCAGGCTGATAGGCTGGCAGGTAAAGCTACCGTTCAGGTTCAGATTGGTGGATAGAGATCAGGAGGAAGGCAAAGAGATAAATACCTGGATGGCTTAGCCATAAGGATTGAGTGAGGCAAAGAACAAAGACGTGATCCGTGATCTCGGAATCGTGTGGGGTGGTGAAACACGGCAGTCTAAGCTTGTCGGCACGGTACATGGTGATTGTGATGTCACGAGTAATGAATAAGCCTACCCGCTGAAAATTAATTCTCTAATATAAACCAGAGAAAACATGAACAGAGATAAACAGACAAGACTTGTGGATAATGACGAGTCTCTCCCGCTAATCCATCTATGTGAGCTAGGAGTACAGCTCAGCGAATCACGTCTAGCGGTCTTTGGGAACAAAATACAACATAACTAACTTCTCATCGGACACATAATCAAACTTTACAAGACGGACATATAATCAGACTGCTTTTGGCACTGTCGGAATTAGAACTCTTTGCTGGCTGCTGAAGATGGGAACGGAATATCTATGGGAATGTCCCGAGTGTTGTGATGTCAGTTCTTGGCTCAACACTCTACTCGTGTCGCAGCAGTCAGTGGGCCTACCCAGTGATAGTTGCTGCGTCAGAAGACTCAGCACTTTTGTCAATGGCCGATGTGCTGTAATGTCCATCGCCATAAATCATAACATATAGACAACTTGTTACGATATCCAGCCCAAGCATAGCGTGATTGGGCTTTAATTCATGCTTGCTCGCCTCAGACACGGGGTGCTAGAGGGGTGTCACGTTGTCTTGTGTCGCGAAGAGCTTTCTTTAGTGTGCGTCGTGTGGGCGACTAGCTCGACGATGTGGTTTACTCGTTGTTGTGAGCGGGCGGCGACATTGTTTATATTATGGAGTTCAGGTACGACATGAATTCAGTTCAACTGTCAGCGTTGACGAACGACAGGGAGAAGAACATTGCTTTTCTGCAGCAATGCAGGTTTTTAGGGCGCAGCGGAAAATGTTAACAATTTTGAAACCATGGGACGTACTCTGGACTCTCTCGTGGGACTTAGGCTGAGGCTGTGGGATAGGGAGCTGGGGTTAGGGCTAGTTCTAGATGTTCTCGGGTCGTTAAAAGCGATGTTGTCGTGTAGTATAGAACACGCGACATCACCGCTGATAGTTTCGGAGACAGGATGACGTAACTTCCCTGTAACATTGACTAGCCCACATGAAGGTAAGAAAGTATGAATAAGACGTCGACCAGTGGCCGGGAATCGTAATAAGAACCACATATACAGTAGAAACACGATTATCCGGTTCGCGATTATGACATCTAGTTTTTATTTTTCACATTTTTATCACACTATATAAATCTTCACTACTTTATCTAATTTCCCATTTGGGTAATTACTTATGAACTGACAGTTTTAAAAAAAATGTTGAAATAAATTCTGTAATTGAGACTACGTTTCACGCTAAAGTTTTTTTCAATTTATTTTAAGTTAAATTTATGTATGTATGCTGTACAGTGGGCATGGTTTTATGTTTCCTGCTGTTAGGTTAGACAATATATATTTTACCTGAAAATGTTAACAATGTTTTTATTTTTGGACTTTCATCACCCGTAATAACTGTTCCAGACCTGCAGTACAATAAAAACATTTTAAAGTTCTTACCTGTACTGAGATAAGAATAAGGTCGGCTTTTGGTATATAAATGGGGGAGATTTTAATTATATGGGTAGGGTAAAGGACCCTTTTCTACATCCCATGCCTATTGGGTATATAGGGCTAGATCTATATTTTATAAACTAATCGGTACTCTGTGGGTGATGTGGTCAATATCACGCTGGCCGCATTTATTTCCCAAGACTGTACCTGGTACTCATTTAAGGCTGGGTCGACCTGTGGGTCAGTATCATTTTTGAAAAAAGTCCGACTCCCCTAGGATCCAAACCCACGACCTACCGAACCCACCTTCTAGCCGCCACAACTCGACCACTCCCATGGTAATTATAGAACACTGACACATCCGGCTTTTTGTTTTACCCGGTCTACCCAACCGCCACATGGGGCCGGGTATTGCATTGTGTACTTGCATACCTCCACTTACATAGTCGGCGTCTGAGGCTTAGGCTTCGTAACACCAGGGTGCCGGGTTCGATCTCAACTGCGGACGGTTTGTCTTGCGTTGATTTCGACAGTGATACCGAGAACTGACCGTTCAGTGGCAATGGCAAACTACTGAACGTAAAATGTGCCTAGGAAAAACTCAGACAGCCACACAAAAAATGCTGGAGTTGGTTCTGCATTGTCGTTTAGGGATACTCAACTTTCATTTATGTGCCCCTATTTACAACAGGCGTGTATGAAGCCAGAACAATTTTATTGGTGCTATATGTTTTCTATTTCCTTATTTCAGTATATTGGAGGCAGGTATAGTCACACGTGTAACGCCTTAGGGGTGATTATGGGTCTTACAGTTTAGGGGCAAGGGGGCCTTCAAGGAAGTAACCCTTATTTAAGTACGTAACACAATATGCTCAGTGGCAAAATATATAGTATATCAAAATAATATAAGATGTGTGAACAAATACGTCGAGAGAAAACTTGTATACCTAGTTATGGGGGCCATATTTTATGTTTATACACTTTTTAGGATGAGCTCAGGCTACAACTGAAGCTGTTCATAAACACAAAGAGCAGGATCTTGTGTCGTGTCTTGAGGGGTGCCTATCCTGGTGTGGGTTCTGCAGTATCACTGTTGTAGACAACATAACATGTCAATCCTGTGTCTTTCAGGTCCAGGAGCTACTTTGCCCAAAAGTGAATCTGACGAGTTTTCAGACCGGACGTCAGATCTGGATTTTGATGAGCTGGCCTCGGAGAGAAGTCGGGTCGACGGAGGGTCCAGCACTGACGAGAGCAACAAGGAAGCAGCTGTAACAAGTGCTGGCAGTCACAAAGAAGTGAAACGACAAAAACATAGACCAAAGTCGTTGAGTTTATCCCACTCGCACAGCCACACCTCATCGGATGAAGAAGAGGGGTCCGGAGGCAGCGATAAGAAAGAAGACACTTGGACAGGGGACAAGCGGGAGCGTCACGGGAAATCTAAACATCACTCGTCTGCGAGTCATTTACCAACAGATCCTTCTCTTGTGAGTTTTTCTGCTTTATCCGCTGGCCTTCAAAAAGCAAAGAAACTGCTGACAAACACAGACGATGGTGTCAAGGTTAAGGGAAGAGATTTAGTCTCCCTTCAAGACTTGATAGACAACCATGCAGTCAACAGCCCGACGCCCCCAAGGAGTCCTAGCTGGCGTGAAGGGCTAGAAAGTCCACCATTTTCTCCAAGACGCCGAGATTCGTATCCAGGCAAACGACGAGGGTCGCTTTCTCCCAAAGAAAAGAACAATCATTTCACGTACACAGATATTTCACCCCCTTCAAGGCAGTTATCGCTTGATGAACTGTACGGGGAGGCATCCACACATCCCAGCGCTTTAGACAATGGCGTCGCGGGGTCACACGCTGCACAAAAACCCTCGCCGATCTCTCCAGACGAGATGAAAGGTTCGTTCATCAGCACAAGTGGGCAGACGCTCATGTTCGACATGCCAGCTGTCCGTGCCAAGCCGCCGGTCAGTATACCTGGCCCCCAGACTCAGCATGCGGACTTGTATATGAGCAGCACCATCGCCCATTCAACCCCTGTCATGGATCTTGCCACTTACGCTGCCACGATCGCCAACAGCACGGCGAGCCTGACTTCCATGAGCGTGTCACCCACCAATCTATTACCTCAGTCGTCACACCCTCCTGTTGCAGAACCCATGAGCCCGGACTCGGCGGACAGCGTGGACTCCAGCTGTTCATCACCCGTCTCGCCTGGTTACTATGATAACGCCCCAGCACCTAGTGAAGAAGTCGAGGAGGTGGAGCTAGCGGATCCCTCATCCAAGTCGATAGATTTCCAGGGATCTAAACGACAGAAAGCCAGACCACCTTCTACAGACTGGTCGCCTGTGATTGACCTGTCCCCCATCCTGGACGTGTCGCCTTCAGTAGAAGAAGCTGAACAGGAAGACATGTTAGCGAAGCAAATGGAAGAACTAGAGAGACAGCGATCTCGCGAGGAGGCTGCCGAGGATGAATACGAGGACGAAGAATCCGAAAGCTTTGAAGCCAGGCCGTTCTTTGAGTCGAAATCTTTCGGCCCAGCAAAGAAATCTATTCCTCAGGTAATACCTCGTATACCGGCGCCGCCATCAGCCAAGAAATTAAAACAACAGCTTAATGAAGAACTGGATGACTTTGATATTGATGAGGTTGAAACACCCGAGGATGTCAGTCCATACATGTACGGCAGTAGTCTCAAACGTTGCGGTAACTTTGAAGATATCAGTCGGTTAGGTAGTGATAATTCTTTGATCAAGCATACATCAGATCTGCTGTCTTCTGACCGGCTAGTTGATGACATTGATCTCAATGACACCAGCAGCGACTTGCCGTTCTTTTCCTGCACAACCCAGTCTCAGACTTTGTCTCATTCCATGCCAGGTGCTAGTACAACAGTGTCGTCGCTTCAGGCTCCAGGGAGACAGCTACCGGAGAAAGCAGCAGAAGAACAAGGGACCAAACGCATTAGAGACATGGAATCTTTGATAACAGACGAATTCCATAAAGTAGCTGAAGACATGGAGAATATTGTGAAAAGAGGAGCTATGGATGTAAAACCCATCCCGCCACCAAAACCCAAGCGACGGCTTCCAGACCCCGATCTGCTGATCTCACCACCACCAGCATCAAAGGGATCATTTGAGGGCTCTGAAAGAAGACCGTGCCCAAGTATTAGAACCGAAGAGGTCGTGGACACATCAAGCAGCATAGACAGCTCGTTTGATGAGGCTCCTAGCGGTAAGTACTTACCTAGACAGGATTCAACCGAAAAGAAAAAAGCAAAAGACATGAAAGCAAAACCAAGTCCAATACTGGTGCAGTACATTGAAGCTGAGGAGCAGTCCGTGTCGCCTCACTACAGAGTCATGGAATCACCCCCAACTCCAGAAACGAAAACCATTAAGAGGGAGTTTTCAGACAGTACCTCAGTTTCCCCAAACTCATCACCTGACCAGGACGTTTACGCATTCCCATCGCCTGTCACTCCTCCTGATTCAGATTCCTCACCCCCGAAGCCTCATTCGCCATCATCCCCTGCAGCAGATTTCGATGAAGAAAGTTCTACAATAGCTTACGATACACTGGACCCGTACCGGGCCTCAAGTCCCTATGACAATGCTAAACCCTGCCACAAGCCTCGAAGAACTAGTCCCTCTATTGGAACTTTGCAATCTGCAGCCTCTTCTTCACAAGCTGACCAGCAGTTAGCTACCTCTAAGCCGGAAGTCATGAGACCTCCTATCTCACCAAGGAAAAGTATACGGAAGTTCGATGACAAAAATACGAACGCTAGATCCAGTCCAGTGTATGAAAATGTCCAAGACTTAACAACTCAAGAGTACCTGCAGGAGCAGCAGAAACACGCCTTGTTTCTAACTGATGTCTCAGACACTGCTGCCTCACGCAAGGGATTTACTAGACTGGATGCCATGTCAAAAGGACTAGGCGGCCAGTACTCTACCCAGCCTGCTGAAATCATCACCTTCCCGCTGGCAGGCGACTTTACGGGCCGCAAGAGAAGTAGTTCAGCCCCAGCCACAGAACTTCAGGAAATACCCAAACCGTCTCAACGTCCGGAACCTGCCCTTCGACCCAGGTCAGCATCTGCCGAATACGAGCAAGAGCCACCGCTGGAGAGGACACCAAGTGTGAGAGATAAAATTCGAGCTTTTGAAGAGGTAAATATTTGTGATGTTCATTGTATAAATTTGCTAGCATGTGTGCCGTTGTCTTGTATAATGTGAAGTGGTTCCTTACTTTCGGTCAACCCCACGACTTGGTTTTACTTTAATGGTGTGAACACTGAAATTATATTTATTTTTTCAACTATAATTTTCAACATGTTAGTGTCAGTGATTCTGCGATTATAAACGAAGTTGCATAATCCCGACATACCAGGGTCGCGAGCAGCTGCTATTTGTCAACACATTGCGTTGCTTTTAAATTGAGCACGGTGCAAGCATCGAACTGTTGAGAAAGCAGGTTAGTAAAACCACACACAGCCAACCAATTCTGGGACTGGTTTACGATGTCTTGTGGATAAGTCATTAACCTTTCAACTTTAGCTTAGCTTTAGTTAATAAAAGGTCATTGACATTGCGCTCCGTAAACTACTTGTGTGAGTCAGTCTCCTCGCTAAGATCACATCAAGAGACTTACTAAAGGGGACTATATTGCCTAGCAACACGTGCAAGGGTAACTGAAATCACAAGTAAAATTTTTATCTCGTAGAGGCTTTTAGTTTTTCAAATTTAACACTACAGCTACACATCAGCAAGTGTTTAGATGGATTTTTCGCGATTTGATTGAGGCACCAGGCTACACTGGTTGGGGTGGGCGGGGGTGGGGTTAATATCAGAGAGAGGATACACCAAGGAACATGTATATCAGTGCACCTCAAGCGGTGAAAAGGTTTCTTTACTTTGTGCACGACTCCATAAATGGAGAGAAACCTCTCAACAACTCCAGAAATGGAGAGAAACCTCTCAACAACTCCAGAAATTGAGAGAAACCTCTTAACTCCATAAATGGAGAGAAACCTCTCAGTGACTCCAGAAATGGAGTAAAACCTCTCAACAACTCCATAAATTGAGAGAAACCTCTTAACTCCAGAAATGGAGAGAAACCTCTTAACTCCATAAATGGAGAGAAACCTCTCAGTGACTCCAGAAATGGAGAAAAACCTCTCAACAACTCCATAAATTGAGAGAAACCTCTTAACTCCAGAAATGGAGAGAAACCTCTTAACAACTCCAGGAATGTAGAGAAACCTCTCAACAACTCCAAAAACGTTTCGTAACTAGGTTGTTCAGTTCACGATTGCAGTTTTTACGGAGACCTACGGAAGTCGTCACCGTAGCTACGGAGTTACTGCTTTGTGCGACGCTCTCGGCAGTCGGCTAGTTGTTCTGAGGAGACCCAGCAGTGTGGGATAAAACCCCTTGCAACAAAGTCGATCCTCTTAACTTCAGTATTTACTAGTTGTGGCCCCACGATGTTGTCAAAGGAATGCATATCAATACTGTGTACCTTGGGGGTGATTTTCCCAGACCCCGTCCATATACACACTAGCTCACTTCTGGTTGATAGTTCCTGAGCCCCGTAACCTTTGCACAATGTTACGGGGTATTCCGCAATGCCGTTGATATCGTATGTTGTGTATTTCAGCGCACCGGCGCTTTTAACACTCCAAAAACATGGAAAAACTAGCTCTAACACAACCTCCCTAGAGAGTGCTGCAACCTATGTCACAGGCATTCTCTGTCCCTGAATGAAAACGTAAATGCAAGACATCACAGAAACCAAACAACAGAGTCAAACTAACTTTTTTTTTTTTTTTTTTCAAATTGCCGCCCTAAAAGGTTGTAATTGCAAGTAATAAATACGGTGTTGACTGCCTAATTGTATCCTCTTGTTAGACTGATCACTTCATTAGACAGTTTGTAGTTTCAGAAACTCTGTAACAAACATTTCCCTTTAGAAATTAAAACAGCGAGGACCCAACGACGGTTGGAGGGTTTACCGCCTGCTATATTTGGATGTATCTAGTCTGGTGAATTACCATATAATTTTACAGCAACAAGTAATGGAGAACAAAAAACGAATCAAGATACGATTTGATTTGTGTAGTTCAGTTGCAAGGGTTCATGTTTTGTGCTAACTGTAATTGTAAATCCACTTTCTCACACTCACAAACACAGAGCGCATCACCTAGGCCTACAAGAGTAAAGAGTAATGAACGAGCTGACCAATTGGCAAGTAATGCAGCTTCGCATCGTGTAGACAGCTGTTTCATCAAAGCTTCACGGAGTAGACTTGCGATAAACAATGGCGAGTCTCAGACGCCAGCCCGATTTCGTGACCTGGGAGTGAAGCCCTGTGAAGACTGTCTATGCCGCCTTCGAGGGCAAGATAGGAGACATTATAACTAATTTCTTATGGTAACAATCTGAAGAGGTGATCTGGGGTGGCTGCGACACCGCAGGAATGATTGAGCGCGCATAGGAGTGCCCAAAGTTCTGTGAGGTCAATTGTAATAACATTCTTATGTAGCCGTGCAACGATAAATTTAACATGATTTTAATTTGGTTACACATGCGAAGAAACATGGCTAGCCATCAATTAATTTTTTTTTAAAAACCTTGCTTAGCGTGAAGCGACCCATTTGTCGTCGGCTTGGTATGGTTAGACCAAATAACATAAATGAAAGTTCGCTTCTAGTGACATAAAATCAAATATCTCCGAGCTATGATACACACTGATATATCTCTACACAGTTTAACTACTACAGACTAATTCCGCTTTGTCTATGGAACCATACTACCGCCATGAAGTCAGCCAGTCTACTGTCGCTCAGCCGGCCCGATCTGACGCACCTGTTCTGTGTTGGGACTACGTGCAGTCAAAGAACGGCCAACCACAGAGCGACAGCCAAATAGACCACTTCACTAGTAGAAATAGTACATTTTACCTCACTATGACATCACACAAGTGATAAACACCTGATGACATAAAGTGCTACCATGTGGATGAGGATCACCCATGGGGAGGTCCCGGAAACCGTGTTCAGCCATTAAGCCATATTTATGGCCGGGCTAAATTGCGGCCCCTGACAAGAGCCAGGGTGGGGCTTCAAAATAACGAAAAATTGCATCCCACAAGGAAATGACTGGTTTTATCAACCGCTTTACGCTAAGCAAGGTCTTCTATTAACTAATGGCTGGCTAGGTTTTTTCCCATGTGTAACCAAAAAAAAATCAAGTTAAATTTGTCGTTGCACGGCTACACTTATAACACACAGCAACACACCACACCCATTCACCATGCGAAATGTCTCTTACAGTTACTTTTATGTCATTTACAGGATGTTGAGACCCAGCCCCATCATTTGTTTTGGCTGTTGTGGTTTTTCTAAGCAGTTTTAACTTCAGTAGTTTGTCGTTGAAACTAAACAGTCTGCTCTTGATACCACTGTCTGAGCCAAATCGCCTTTAGCTGGGATCGAACCCCGCTACCTGGGATTATGAAGCGCGTTCGCAATGCCAAAGCCATAGATTTCAGTTATTTATACGAAAACAGTAGTTTCCATCGGGCCAGGCTTTGATCCCGTTTCTGGTGACCTACTGAAGAGATTACATTAGCGAGTTCTTCTGATGTTTTCAGTGTGATCCCAGGCATCTCACAAGGTGTCAGTGTTCTCATTACTGACTGTCTGGTCTCGTTTCACTGACAGCCGATCTGATATCAAAAAACCGGTACCTACTTCAGCATTCTTCCTCGGGCGGAATCTTCCTGCGTATAAAACATGTTATAACGCGAAGATTCTTAGAAAATTTCTTGTTATGTTGATGTTGGTACCTCTCCGTCTGTCCCGTCGATAGGGTTACACCATATGGAGTGATGGGAGCCGCAGTCGATAACGATGGCGAGTGTGACTACTGCTGGATTATCCAAAATACAAAACCTCAGCAGTATTGTAAAGACCGAGTGTTGTTTATGCAGCAAGATCCCTTTCTCAGACTGCTTTGTTAACGCTCCATTTGGTCAAGCTTTTAAGTCAAATTTTCATGGAAGTCCTTGTATTAGCTTGACTGGAGTCATCCCCATATTTTCACTATTTTTTCGCATCCAGGTTGCATTTCCTCTTTCTGGGATGAAACTGTTATTCTGATTGATAACAGTGGCAGCTAATTTTGTATAGAATGTCCTAAAGAAACTGAAAGCTGAAGAGATCCGGGGTAAAAAAGAGTTGTTTTCAGTTACAGTCGAAAACACACCCAGTGTATACAGTAAAATACACCCAGTGTACACAGTAGAACACACACAGTACACAGTAACATACACCGAGGGTACACAGTAGAACATACCCAGGGTACACAGTAAACACACAATAAACTGATCCTGATGTTGTCTTGTGATCCCTGTGCCCCCAGCCTCCCGTGCCCAGAAAGCGGGTGAGTCTGCCGCATGAAGATGTTGTCTGCATGTGTGTCAGTCTGTGTTGTAGTCTTCTTACTTTCCTTATACTTGGCTATTAGAACCTCTTAGTGTTCGTGTGGGAATCATGCACACCAAAGACGGCTGCTGCTGCTGCTGCTGCTGCTGCTTTTTTTTTTTTTTATGTTTGCTTGGCTCGGCTCGGCTGTGTTGATGGTCATCGTTCTCTGTGTACTTGGGCGCCGTTTAAAATAATCCGTGCCTGTACAGCCTCGTTATCATTTTTTTCAAAGAGGGGGAGGGGAGGAAAGGGGAGGTGGGGGGGGGGGGGGAGACTGGGTATCAAGGAGCTAAGCGTTGAAGAAAATCATGATTTTCATCTTAGGTGTGATGTTCAATAAGACATCAGAAGATGCGGTTACCCTGACACATGTGCAAGCATACACAGGCTTCTATCAATATATACTGTTTAAAAAAAAAAACAGAAACATACATACTCACAATTTTGACATTTTGCATCTTTGTAAAGCAAATAGTGAAATTACTTAAATTTCACTCAAGAATACCTTAGGGTTCCATCAATCAATTGACACGTTTCTTTTTTTTTCCTCCTTTTTTTTCATCTTGGTCACGATAATTTTAGTCGTACGGCCTTTACCGTAAGTCTGGTTTGTGGCCTCCTCTGGCCTGGATCAGTGACTTGGCATCTCCTGAGCATGGATTCTATCACATGGTCTGATCTCGGCCTGTGGTATTGTTGCCTACTCTTCCTGGAGTGACTGGAACAGGTCACGAACATTGACTGTAG